AGAGAGGGTTTTTTTTTTTTTTTTTTTTTTTTTTTTTTTTTTTTTGGTACCCAGGATTGAACTCAGGTTCTTGTGCTTTAGGCAGGCAGTAGAACCACTGAGCTAAATCCCCAGCCCGTGACTTTGTCATTCATTTTTTGGTGTTTGGTTTGGTTGGGTTTTTTGGGTTTTTTTGTTTTTGTTTTTTGGTTTTTTGCGGGGGTACTGGGAATCAAACTCAGGTCCTTGCACTTGCAGGGCAGGCGGTGGAATCACTGAGCTAACTCCCCGGCCCCTTCTTTCAATAGAATTGATGTTTCTTTTGAGTGATATAGGATGGAGTGGAATTTAAAATGGCAAATAAAAGTATCAGTTTCTTCAGATTTAAAATAACTTTAGAACAAGCAGATCTTCATCTTTTAGGGTCTCCCCTACACACCCTTCCCCTGCCGTTCTGCTAAAGGCAGAAATGGCTTTTGGACATCAGGAGACGTTCATGTGTCCTAATGGCCAGGTCTGTGTCCATATTTGTGTTGTCTGAATTCTCACTAATTTCCATTGAGATATATCTAGTCCAGAGTAGTTACTGGATGTCTCATAGGGTCTGTAGCTCAAGTCTGTCATTGGTCAAACCATTATTCTTCCTTAACTTCTTCCAGAGCCTGTTTTCTTCCAGTTCTCATTTGCTCTCTTCTTCCTTCTCAACAGCATTGTAGGTCCTCGTATCAGCCACAGCTACCCCTGGTGCTGGGCTGGCCTGTTCTGCTCTGCAGCATCTGCTCTTGGATCTCACAGTGACCTGGGTGGCTTCTCATTTTCAGCTCTCAGCAACAGTCTTCCACATACACTTCTGGGATCACGAAGAAGTTCCCTGATTCCAGAGCCTGCTGTGCAAGAAACAAGGAAGCTTGAGGCCTGCTATTGCAAAACCTTGTCCTACTCACACCCTGCTTTCCTTGTATTCTTTTTGTAGCAGTCCTACATTGGGTGTGGTGTTCCTGCGAGTTTGTCTTCTAGAATGCCAAAAAGGAAGCCAAGAAAATTTAAAGCTCCCCAGCTTTCAGTTTTTGCTATTATTTATCTGGATTTTCATCCTTGAAAGGGTTGTCAGAACCGTCAAGTTAGACTTCGTAGCTCCTTCCCCCTCCTTTCTGGTACAAGTATCTCATTCCTCTTCCTGTCTCTGGACCCCTCCCTCTTTGTCCTAAACTCCCTTTAAGGGGGTATTGTCCCCTTCCCAGTGGGAGAAGGTATAAGTAACAGTTTCTAGTTTACAAGTAGAATTTGGAGATTTTCTAAAAAGGGTGATCTGTAATTAGAATCTCTAATTGGCCTATGTTAATTTTGTTTTGTTTTGTTTTTTGTTATAATTATGTAACTTGATATTTACTGAGGATCTATAGTATTCATTTACATTACTATGGCATTTACTAACAAGATAGTTGATCTTATTGGCAACTCTGAGGTAGATATTTATTATTCTTGTTTTGCAGCTGAGGAAACAAATAAATATCCAGGATTCAAACCCAGATCTGTGTGAATTCAAAGCAAAGTTCCTTCTACTTTCCTGTTGCCACTATTTGTATTTTATTTACATAAATGTTAAAACCTCAACCAAAAGGGGAATCTACTGTTTAAATATGTTAAAATTTGGCTTACTATACAACTAATATGTCAATTGTAAATATCTATATAACCTTCAATTACAATTCCCATTCCATATCTTTGGTGAAAATAAAGTGCTTTGACCTCTGAAGTGAAAGTCACTTAATAAATCTATTGTTGTCATTATTTAAAGTTGTTTTTATGTTTGTTGAATGTGAATTACCAAAGTATATAACATTTTTCATGTTTAAATTGTTATGAAAACTGTTATATATGGATTTAAATCTAAGCCCTGACATTAACCGCCTGATGACAAGAGATAAGTCTGTTCTCTGTGATCATAGTCAGCCCTGGTAAGTACATCTTACAGATCTTCCCACTGCACTCTGAGAATGTCTGCCTAATGGTAAATGATTGCCTGAGACAGATATAAAAATGGGTTTTTTTTCCTACCTAAACCATTTGCCATTTTATGTGCCAATACAGACCTCTCACCTATCTTTCCATCATTCCTTTATTTCTTTTTAATTTTCTCCCTTACCTGTGAAACTGTTTTATTCTTTACCCTCAAGTGTGTGTTTATCTCTTTGTTTTTAAATATTACAGCTTTCTAACATCTGTCTCTAGGGCAGCATAATCTTACTGATGAAATATTCCATGTTTTCCTTGAGCCCTCATCAATATGTCTTCATGTTAACAGCTCAGCAGATGGAGAAACAGAAGGGGTAGCCTCAGCTTACCTGAGTGATTTCCCTCTAGCATCATGGCGCATTGACTGTCTCTAGTAACTTGATGAGCAATTGGAACAATTGGGAAATAAGAGAGGATATCTAACTTTTTCAGTATTAAGAGACAACAGAATTTTAACTGCCTACCTATTTGGGCTTTGCCTATTTTGATAAAACAAACAGTAATAATAATAATAATAATAATAATACCATTTGGTAAACACATTAGCATGTTCCCAAGTGGCCTGAGGATAATAACCTGTGATTTAGCAGCAGCAGTAGCTTTTTGCACCACTGAAATTGTAGGAGCCTCTGGGACTACTTTTTGTAATAGCATTGTTCTTTTACGTAGACAAATTATGTTTTTTTTTCTGAATTAGCTGCATGCTTTTTCCATAACCATAATCCTTAAGAGACCAAAGGATATAAAGAAGTTACATGTGCAGATTTATGGGTGAGCTCAAGTCCATCAGCAAATTTTCCACGGTATTGCCATCCGGCACACCATTTTCCTTGGTTGAAAGAGAAACTTTGTGAATGAAGCTCTTGAGTTACTTCGAGTCTTTTTTCTTTTTTCTTTTTTTTTTTTTTCTTTTAACCTTTTGGAGGTAAGAGCAAGAAGCAAGAGATGATTATTTCAAAGAAAAGGTATGTGGATGAGAAGAAGTAGGAAATAATAGTGAAAATTACATCAAAATGGAGAAGCTATAGAGAGGATCAAGAAATAAAGCAAGTTTTCTCAAATGTTTATGTGCAACTAAGTAATTTCAGAGCTATATTTAAAATGCAAGTTTTAGCTGGGCATTGATGACGCACATCTATAATCCCAGCACTTGGGAGGCTGAGGCTGGAGGATCACTGTGAGTTCGAGACCAGCCGGGGCTACATGGTGAGTTCCAGGTCAGTCTCAATTATATAATGAGACCCTGTCTCAAAAATAAATAAATAAATGATAAATGAATGCAGGTTTGTTTCATTAGATCTAGGGTGAGGCTTGTGTGTGTACCTTTCTAATTAGTTACACAGTGCTAATATTGCTGGTCTAGAAAGAGTACACTTTGACTAGTAAAGATCTTAAAACTCATCTCTGACATTGGCAATGCAATTTAACACCAGTCGCCAGCCTTTATGTTGCTTGAATTAGACCCTAAATAGTTCAGAATCCCATCCCTAAATATAAACTCACATGAATCCTATTTTTCACAAATTGCAGACATTTAATGTATATAATAAAAATGTTTATGTAAATAATGTGAAATTATTGATTATCAACATTACCTTTTAGTATACATTAAGTAATTAATTTTCCTCATCATTAGTTGATAAATTTCCCTAGATGCTGAAATTATTTCATTCTAACATTTGACAAGAGATTTGAAAAGGTTTTTTTGTTTTGTTTTGTTTTGTTTTGTTTGTTTTAGTAACAGACCTGTGCATTGCTAGAGATGGTATGGGAAATATTTCAGGAGAGACTTCTCATTCAAAGAGAACAATTTCTATTCTAGTGTTTCTTAAAGTATAGTTCATATGCCTATTTCATTAGCCAGAAGCTATGTTAAAAATGTACCTGCTCCACTCAGATTTATAAAATCAGAGTCCTGTACTTTAATCAGCTCCAGCTTACTGTTTTTCACAATATCCGAAAAACACTGATTACTACAAGGTACTAAAATCATGAAAATAATTTAATGAGAGCCTTTTCCATTGGTATTACTGTCGGTTTAAAGTAATTCATTTAAAAAAGGGACTCAACTGATACAACATTTCTATGATAAAAATGGAAGAGATTGAGGTGAATGGGAACTTTTTTCTCTTAAATTCTTTTATTGGTACATTTTAGGTATACAGTACATTTGCATTCATCATTGGGAGCTTGTACCTTTACATATATTTTGGTTCTTATTTTTTCAAATGGGGACTCTTTCTATAAACCTAAAATTTAAAGCAATTTTACATAACTATAAACATTGGATACATATGATTATACATATTTTATGTAAATTATTTTTATCATGTGTGTCCTTCTTTGGGTTTTTTTGGGGGGATGGTCATTAATACCCTCTTCCATAATCATTTTCAAACCAAAAGTAGCTACCTCTTGGCTTTTGTGGTGTGTAGAACAAGCCCAAAGACTGAGAACACACACATATAACTCATACTATGAAATTTTGCTAATTTTTTTTCCAAAACAAAACATTCAAATTCTGCAGTGTCCCATTAGGAAGCAGCCACCTGGCAAGCCTAAGACCACACAGGTTCCTCTTGTGTGTTGCCAAGCTCTGTGTCCCCACCAGCTGGGAATTGTGTTTGAACGTTTACTAACACTCTACCTAGCCAAAGCCAGTGAAACAGACTGAATGACTTATCAAGGTCCTTCCTTATACTTTTTCCTAGACATGAATGCTTCCTTGAAATCTTGAAAGACACAGATCATTTCCTTGAGGTGCACTTGAAGGGTTATTTAAACACCATGTTTCTTTATGTGAGCATAGGAATTATAGTTTGTGAAGTTATGAAAAAAGTCCTCTCATTATAAATCATATATATATATTGCTTTTCTAACCAAAATTAAGATAGATTTTTTACTTTTAGAATGGGGTTATCACCTCAATGCATATTATAAAAGCTTACCTAGAGAATACCGCTCTTCCCAAGCTGAGCAATTTTCATGCGACAGTTTAATAAAGTGGGAAGTCACAGTTCTCAGAGTCCAGTGTCTTAAATTTTAGTCTTAGTTTGGCTTATTACCACCTGGATATGCACTGGCACATCAATTTCTTACTTATAGAGACAAAAAATAACTTCCATGCCCTTGGGTTATTGTGTAATGAAGTGGTATAAGAAAACTGCATTGTAATTTGTTAAAAGACATGTACATGCTACTGCTAGCATTTTTTACATTCAGAGGTTGTATCCACAAATTTAAACTGGTGCAAAATAACAATGATCATTTTCTTTTTCCTCCTTGGTGATATAGGAAAAAAAATCAGAATTTATCATCAAAACTATAATTATGTCTTCAACAAATGTGTACATGTATGTCAACATTTTAAGGGATGAAATATGAATGAAGAAAAGAGCACATTACTATAAATGTACAAATCAGCTCTATATATTGTCCATTTTAAAAGATGGCTTATTAAAAATGGTTTAATAACTTTATAAACTTTATGGTATTGCTGTCTATAACCTAAACATCCACAGTGAAGTTGATCATTGCATGATGGATATTATAAAGAATTTTTAAAAAATTATGTAGGAAGTTTCTAGGAATCAACTATTTTCACTTGTCCTTTGGTATCCAGGACATTATTTCATCCTGGACACTGTGACCTACCTAAGTTTCCTGGTGGATGAGAGCCTTCCCTTTGTTAAGTGGCAGAAAGATTAGTGTGAAAAGAAGATGAGGAAAACAGCACCACAGGAGTGCTCCAATACAGACCA